CGGTGACTGGGACTGGGACAGCAAAGCCAGTGGTGAGAAACCCACAGTAACATGATCTACACTGTTAAATCCCATTAAACAAGCCCCCATGACACCCAGATACATAAAAACTAGCCCCTGCAGTTGGCTGGGGATCAAATCAATGTAATGCGAGATATATCTAGTCCTGTACAACGCAGACAGACACATCTATAGCTTTACAGTGGGTTCGGGTCAGTGAGGGATTTTAACATTAAACCTTATTTTTCACACCCTTTCTACAAAAAAAACATGCCACACCTGCACACACACACACACACAAGCACATCCTGTTTCAAGGTGTTGTGAATGTGTAGACTAAACAGTTGGGTTGGTAAATGAATGGATTAGAAAGTAGAGTATAAAGAGAGTTCACATGAATAGGGATTTAGTCATTTTCCTCTGTGTTTGACTTTTCTAATGGTGTTCCTCTTTCACTCTGACACAGAATGCAGATGAGAGCATCTATACGGTGAGTTGGTGATGATGGTGATCTTAGTTGATGTGTGGAATTTCAATTGTAGGTCCTTGCGTAATGATATTTTTTCTCTGTTCTTTCTCTCTTTCCTATCTCAGGGACTGACCCGTCATGCTACAGACACCTACGAGACCATCGGTCAGAAGAAGAAAGGTTTGAACTAGTTGAGGATGAAGAGTTGAAGAAAGAGAAAGTTTTACTCTTTCCATCTGTTAAATCACCTTTGTCTTTGCAGGCATTTCCCATGTCTCTTATGTATTTTATTTATCATAGCTTTTGAGCGAAAATGTAGACATGTATTTTTATTTTATTTTTTGTTACATTTATTTGCAATTCATATGTGAAAGCCTCCTTTGTATGCTGAGGTATGTGTCTCCAAAGAGAGAGAGACGTGAGAACTGCAAAATATGGAAGAAGTTGAGCTGTGGGTAAATATTTCTTTATGATTGTTTTGACAGTAATATTCAAAAATATGCATAAAACAATATGCGCATTTTCCCACCAGAGATGTTATCATCAAACTGTTTTTTTTGTGGATAAAATGCTGTGCGTGATGATGTAGTGCACATAAAAATGACTTTTACCGTTACATTCCCATGTACCGAATGAAAAATATAATTTCCATCGCATTTTCAACTCTACTGATGGTTTGTCACAAAAACTGTTGCATTATATAGCAAATGTACCCGATCTGGTCATGGCACATGCGCTCTACCCAACACCTAGCAGATCAGTGCGGGTAGGCTACCTATTATGAGATCATTATGGATAAGAGCGATATTATTTGTATTGGTCAAACCTAAGCATCGATCATCATGTCACCAGAATAAGACCCTCGATGTTAATTGTAAAGGATCAGCAAGCTCATTACCTTGCACATTCACCACCCTGTGAAGTTCATAATATATTTCCTCTGTAGCCTGATAAACTGCATGCTTTCCCGAGTCGTAGTGGGAGAACCACACAACATATCATCTCGTGACTCCCAAGTTTACTTCATCCACATGAAATGGTTGGATGGAAACCTTGTTTGTGTCCTCTTTGTATGATACTAAGTTTTAGCTTGAGATTTATGTTTTTGGTATTTTCAAAACGTCTCAAATACAGTTTTATCAAATCATATACAGTTTTTAACTCTTGAAATTGGTGTTCTGGGTATATTTTTGGTATTTTCAAAGTTTCTACGGTGCTTTTATAATACATTCTAATAAAATATCAAAATGATGGGTCTGTGGTAGGCTATCTTGATCTTCTCTTTTCACACAGTTGATGTATCTAGCTCACGCTATTTCAGAGGCTCATTTCCGTTACACCAACTCCATGGCAACTGATCCTGCCCCCGGCCACACACTGTCCGACTCACATCCTGTCTGTGTGTGCGGGCGCGGTCTTGGCGGTTCTGCAGCCCTATAGCCGAGACAAATGTCTTTGCCTATACCCCCGCGAAAATAGAATAGTCCCAGCAAGCAAAATAACATTGAAAAGAAGTCTAAAATATGTATTTTTCCAGACTTTGAAGTTGGGTTCATTTTAGGTTCTGAATGAAAGTTGAAAATATGTATTTTCCGGATGTTAAAAATACGTAATTTCCGGATGTTGAAATCAGGTTCATTTTCGGTTCTGAATTAAAGTTGAAAATACATCGTAATGAAGAGTAAAGTAGGATACAGTACATTATACTGTGCTGAACTATACTTTCCTTTACTGTACTGTATTCTGCTGTCATCTACTGTGCTGTCCAAAGTTGTGAAACAGAGATGTCTATGATTGGTTCAGATTTGGTCCATGGATGTTGAAATCAAGGCCGGTCTGGACCCCACATTTTATTTGATTCGGCGCCATTTAGGTTAGGCTATTTGATCGGAGAAACTTGCATAATGTAAAAAGTGTCTCATGACATTGTCAAATATGATCTCCACTCCAGTCTGTAGGCTAAAGAAAAGACAATATACTCTTTCTACCATAGGCTATATGCTACATGATTTATGTTAGACCATTTTTTGGCGAAAGTTGGTGGAGCTCCGCAGCCGTGCATCTCCAACAGCACCCTGGAGAGGCGTGCTTGGCATGGACAAGCAAAATATTTAAAAGTGGGCACTGCTTATCACGGGCGGCATCTGCGCTCACCTAAATAGCCCATATGCCACTGTGTAAGAGACATTTTCATTATTTTTGGGCAGAATTATGCAGGGCTTTATGTGTTGTTAGAGGTGCGTCTTGGTCAGTTTAGCTCGGAAAATGCCGCCCTCGTCAATCTGCCGTTGTAGGCGGCCGCCTTCTGCTAGTGGGTTTTGACCAGAGGCAGTGCCTCTTGACAACGCTTCGCTCCAATGCTTAGCTTCGCTTGAAATTTGCAGAGCTCAACGTTTTGTACCGCACAGCTAGCAGGGTTCTCGCTGCTCACCTTCCCCGCACATTTCTGCACGTGCCCACGTGCTGTAGTGGAGAAGGTCGAGAGCATCAAGTTCCTCTGTGTCCACATTTATTAAGGACATATGGTCCAAACACACCAACACAGTCGTGAAGAGTGCACGACAATGCCTCTTATGTGGCATGGGCCCTCAGATCCTCAAAAAGTTATACAACTGCACCATTGAGAGCATCTTGACTGGCTGGCTGTGTCACCGCTTTTGGTATGGCAACTGCTTGGCATCTGACCATAAGGTGCTACAGAGGGTAGTGCGTACGGCCCAGTATATCACTGGGGCTGAGCTCCCTGCCATCCAGGACCTCTATACCAGGCGGTGTCAGAGGAAGGCCCTAAAAATGGTCAACGACTCCAGGCACCCAAGTCAAAGACTGTTCTCTCTTGCAGCGGTTCTATGCACACAACACGCTCACACACACAACACACACGCTCACACATACACATTTTCACACTTTTTACATAAGCTGCTGCTACTCTGTTTATTATCTATCCTGATTGCCTAGTCACTTTTACCCCTACCTACATGTACATATTACCTCAACTAGCTAGTACCCCTGCACATTTACTCGGTACTGGTACTCCTTGTATATAGTCTCGTTATTGTTATTTTACTGTGTTACTATTTCCTTTTTAATTTTTTTGCAAATGTTTCGTACTTGTTGTCGCTGCATTGTTGGGAAAGGGCTCATAAGTAAGCATTTCACGGTAAAGTCTACAGTATTCGGTTTATGTGTTTTTTTTTATTTATTGTTCGTTGTTGGTGAAAACACTACATAATGGGCGGGGCCTCCCTGTGTGTGTCCATCTGTCCCAAAGACATTAAAACCAGGGTCTGTCCTTGCACATTTACAGAGAACCAATGGGTGCATAATGTAACCAAACGTAGGGGGAGGGGGTTCTCTACTATACTGTTCAACCAATCCAGTAAATGTGGAGGAAGAGGTAAAATGGAGTCCAAACCTTAAGAAAGTCAAAAAGCGGAAGTCGTGTTATAGGCTCTCTTTCCATTTCCCCTGAAAAGCGGAACATCCGGTTGTTGGCCTGGGGATTTGGCAGAGGCTAACGTGCTGACCACACCGCACGCATTGCAAAATACATTTACACATACATGTTATTCAATCATTGCACCTAGACTGCTCGCGCGCGTCAACGGTTCTATTTGTGACGCTCAACGCGCTGCAAGTCCTGTCTCTCCCATCTCCTCATTGGTGTTTAGGAGCATATACCGACGTGGGTGATTGAAAGATGAACTGAGGTCTACGCTCCAGTCCAGTTGGCTGTGGTAATGCACCATAAAGTTGGTTGCCAACCGCCATATAAAGTCCAAATAAGAAGAAGAAGCCTGAAGGAGGAGAGATTACTCGAAAACAAACTTTTACCGTTTTATCTGTGGATTAATTGTCGGAGTAGAGGACCTTGTCCATTTCAGATAAAATAACAACCCAATATATCAATGTTTATATCCCAGGACAAATTAGCTAGCAACAGCAAGCTAGCTAGCTAAATTGCCATAAATGTTTAATGCTTTTCGACCTGTCCCCAAATTAATATAATTGGTTCAGAGTTTATTTTGATATTTCAACCTGCGTGTCCTGATCGCGTCTGGTGTGGGGGAACAAAATCAACTTGCGTGGAAGGGCTACGCCTAACTCAATGTCTGATGTAGTTGACATGTAATGCTGAGTGTATGCCACAGGATGGCAATGATGCTGTAACAGCTACTATGGCCACTGTCAATTGAAAGCAGAAAACAGTGGAGGGAGAATTTAAAGGGGAAGTCAGTTTACCCAACTGAAAGTGCCTGAGGGCTCCTAACTGTTTTAGAGGTTGACATTCCTTTAACCCCTTCAGTAGAGATGTCATTCTGCCGGAGCTTACAACTCTTTTTCATCCACAGATTCTGAAATTACCACACCTATGTAGATGTCAAGCAATGAAACTATTCATTTTCTGATGCATAAAGGGATAGATGTAGATCATGATGTATTGTAGCAAGGATACACCTATCGTGCAAGAGGTAAAAATAAGTTTGTTGTTCTAACTAAACTGGAAAGGTGACTTCCGAGTTGTGTGTGTCAGAGAGAAAGAGCGCTTGCAACAGGTGTATCCCAGAAAACAGGTAGGCTGAACCACTCCTACTTTTGAGAAGCCAGAATATGGTGTGAAAGAAACAGAACATACTTTGTTTATTTCATTAGCCATAAATTATTATTTTGCCAAAAAGGAATAGGCAACAAGTTTCGCACGGAGGGAGAGCAACTTTCCAAAGGATTTATTGGAATAAGATGAGCCAACAACAGCATACAACATATTATTGAATCATAAACTTTGGCTATACCTAAGATCAATACTACTTTTAGACTTCTTTACACTCTTGTCTTGGATTTGGAATTGGATGAAAGAAAGTTGACCGAGGTTGAGCGGAACTTCTTGGACTAATGTCCTGACTGATTCCAGCGTTGGACTAGACCACACACCTTTAACTGTATTCAGGACTATCAAGGAGCAGTCGGGCGGACCACTCCACCGAACCGGGGAGAATGACACTGCTGCTGTGGATCCTTGGGAGTTTCAGTAAGTGATTTATTCATGATTTAATGTTTAGACTATGATCAATAGTAACACTGCACTAAGTAAGGCAATATAATTTTCTATGAAAGCTTCACACAATAATGACAAATATATTGAAAGTTAACTAAAGCTCTGCATTTTTATTTTGGTTTACCTGTTGTCTTATGTATTTTTGTAATTTACCTACCAAGTAGTTTTTTAAAATATAATTATAAAAGTAGGCTACTTCCAATTTTGGCTCTTGTCCAGCTTCTTGTGTCTTTTCTGGATTAGATGAACAACACTTGAGGTGTTGTCTGATATTTCTGGAAAAACAGGCTGCAGTTGATCAATTTCCCTCCCTCATGTTTACGATTCAGTCCAACTCTCTCTCTCTCTCTCTCTCTCTCTCTCTCTCTCTCTCTCTCTCTCTCTCTCTCTCTCTCTCTCTCTCTCTCTCTCTCTCTCTTTCTCTCTGTCTCTGTCTTGTCTCTGTCTCAATTCAATTACATTTGCTTTATTGGCATGACGTAACAATGTACATATTGCCAAAGCTTACTTTGGATATTTACACTATTAACATAATTAAAATAATAATAATCAATATTGTCAACGGGACAACAGTAACAGCAATAACCAAGTGTCAAAATAACCATTGAACAATAACAATATCAAATCAAATCACATTTTAGGTGCAGAGTCAATGTGCGGGGGCACCGGCTAGTCGAGGTAATTGAGGTAATATGTACATGTGGGTAGAGTTAAAGTGACTATGCATAAATAATAAACAGAGTAGCAGCAGTGTAAAAGAGGGGGTGGGGGTGGGGGGGGCTTGACTGCCCTTGACCAGCACAAAAACATCCTGTGGCGTACTGCATTAGCATCAAATAGCCCCCGCGATATGCAACTTTTCAGGGAAGTTAGGAACCAATATACACAAGCAGTCAGGAAAGCAAAGGCTAACTTTTTCAAACAGAAATTTGCATCCTGTAGCACAAACTCCAAAAAGTTTTGGGACACTGTAAAGTCCATGGAGAATAAGAGCACTTCCTCCCAGCTGCCCACTGCACTGAGGCTAGGAAACACTATCACCACCGATAAATCTACAATAATCGAGAATTTCAACAAGCATTTTGCTACGGCTGGCCATGCTTTCACCTGGCTACCACTACCCCGGCCACCAACTCTGCACCCTCCGCTGCAACTTGCCCATGCCCCCCCCGCTTCTCCTTCACACAAATTCAGACAGCTGATGTTCTGAAAGAGCTGCAAAATCTGGACCCCTACAAATCAGCTGGGCTAGACAATCTGGACCCTTTCTTTCTAAAACTAGCCGCCGAAATTGTCGCAACCCCTATTACTAGTCTGTTCAACCTCTCTTTCGTAACGTCTGAGATCCCCAGAGATTGGATTGCTGCCGCGGTCATCCCCCTCTTCAAAGGGGGTGACACTCTAGATCCAAACTGTTACAGACCTATATCCATCCTGCCCTGCCTTTCGAAAGTATTTGAAAGCCAAGTTAACAAACAGATCACCGACCATTTCGAATCCCACCGTACCTTCTCCGCTATGCAATCCGGTTTCCGAGCTGGTCATGGGTGCACTTCAGCCACACTCAAGGTCCTAAACGATATTATAACCGCGATCGATAATAGACAGTACTGTGCAGCCGTCTTCATCGACCTGGCCAAGGCTTTCGACTCTGTCAACCACCGCATTCTTATTGGCAGACTAAATAGCCTTGGTTTCTCAAATGACTGCCTCGCCTGGTTCACCAACTACTTCTCAGATAGAGTTCAATGTGTCAAATCGGAGGGCCTGTTGTCTGGACCTATTGCAGTCTCTATGGGGGTGCCACAGGGTTCAATTCTTGGGCCGACTCTTTTCTCCGTGTATATCAATGATGTCGCTCTTGCTGCTGGTGACTCTCAGATCCACCTCTACGCAGACGACACCATTTTGTATACATCTGGCCCTTCATTGGACACTGTGTTAACAAACCTCCAAACGAGCTTCAATGCCATACAACACTCCTTCAGTAGCCTCCAACTGCTCTTAAACACTAGTAAAACTAAATGCATGCTCTTCAATTGAACGCTGCTGGCACCCGCCCACCCGACTAGAATCACCACTCTCGACGGGTCTGACCTAGAGTATGTGGACAACTACAAATACCTAGGTGTCTGGTTAGACTGTAAACTCTCCTTCCAGACTCACATTAAGAATCTCCAATCCAAAGTTAAATCTAGAATCGGCTTCCTATTTCGCAACAAAGCCTCCTTCACTCATGCTGCCAAACATGCCCTCGTAAAACTGACTATCCTACCGATCCTTGACTTCGGCGATGTCATTTACAAAATAGCCTCCAACACTCTACTCAGCAAATTGGATGTAGTCTATCACAGTGCCATCCGTTTTGTCTCTAAAGCCCCATACACTACCCACCACTGTGACCTGTACGCTCTTGTTGGCTGGTCCTCACTACATGTTCGTCGTCAAACCCACTGGCTCCAGGCCATCTAGAAATCACTACTAGGCAAATCCCCGCCTTATCTTAGCTCATTGGTCACCATAGCAGCACCCACCCGTAGTCTGCGCTCCAGCAGGTATATCTCACTGGTCATTCCCAAAGCCAACACCTCCTTTGGCCGCCATTCCTTCCAGTTCTCTGCTGCCAATGACTGGAACGAATTGCAAAAATCTCTGAAGCTGGAGACTCTTATCTCCCTCACTAACTTTAAGCATCAGTTGTCAGAGCACCTTACCGATCACTGCACCTGTACACAGCCCATCTGAAATTAGCCCACCCAACTACCTCATCCCTATATTGTTATTTATTTTGCTATTTTGCACCCCAGTATCTCTATTTGCACATAATCTCTTGCACATCTAGCATTCCAGTGTTAATACTAATTGTAATTATTTTGCACTATAGCCTATTTATTGCCTTACCTCCATAACTTGCTACATTTGCACACACTGTATATATATTTTCTGTTGTATTTTTTTGACTTTATGTTTTTTTTACCCCATATGTAACTCTGTGTTGTTGTTTTTATCGCACTACTATGCTTTATCTTGGCCAGGTCGCAGTTGTAAATGAGAACTTGTTCTCAACTGGCTTACCTGGTTAAATAAAGGTGAAATAAATAAAAAATAAATAAATAGTCCGGGTAGTCATGATTAGCTGTTCAGGAGTCGGATGGCTTAAGGGTAGAAGCTGTTGAGAAGCCTTTTGGACCTAGACATGGCTCTCCGGTACCGCTTGCCGTGCGGTAGCAGAGAGAACAGTATATGACTAGGGTGGCTGGAGTCTTTGACAATTTTGAGGGCCTTCCTCTGACACCGCCTGGTATAGAGGTCCTGGATGGCAGGAAGCTTGGCCCCAGTGATGTACTGGGCCGTACACACTACCCTCTGTAGTGCCTTGCAGTCGGAGGCCGAGCAGTTGCCATACCAGGCAGTGATGCAATATAGAGGACATGTGCAGGTTGGTTGGTCTGTCAGACACTGTCCCTCATCTTATGGCAGGCAGCAATGTAGTGCGCTGCCAACCCACAGCTCTCTGCGTCCTCCCCCAACAGGACGGGTAGCCTATTCTCATCAGAGAGGTTTTTGAAACCTTGAAAAACGGTTTAAAATTTTGGGAAATGACACACTCTAATTGTTTTATATTTTTGACATTTTGTCAGGAAATGCAGCTCTGTCTCAGGTTCTGCTGTGGTGCAGCGGTTGCACAGCCTTTCCTCTACAGGGAGCCAGGTTTTCCTGTGTCTACCCTTCTCAATGGCAAGGCTGTGCTCACTGAGCCTGTACTTTGTCAAGGTTTTTCTAAGGTTTTGATCAGTAACCATGGTCAAATAGTTAGCCACGGTGTACTGTCGATTTAGAGCCAGATAGCACTGCATTTTACTTTGTGCTTGTGCTTGTGTTTCCCAATAAGCAATGTAGTTTTGTTTTGACTGTGTTGTAATTTGGTTTATTCTGATTGATTGGATGTTCTGGTCCTGAGGCTTCAGTGTGTTATTAGAACAGGTTTGTGAACTCAGCCCCAGGACCAGCTGGATGAGGGGACTCTTTTCTTTGCTCAGCTCTTGGCATTGCAGGGCTTGGTAAATATATGAGAGGGGGTCACTGTATTTTAGATGTTTCCAAAACTTAATTGCTATTTTTTGAGTTTTTATTATTAGTGGATATTGGCCTAATTCTTCCCTGAATGTATTGTTTGTAGTTTTCCTCTGGACATGTAGGATAATCTCACAGAACTCTGCATGTAGGGTTTCAATGGGGTTTGTCCCATTTGGTGAAATCTTGTTTTGCAAGTGGTCCCCACACCTCGCTGCCATAAAGTGCAATTGGTTCAATGACACATTCAATTAGTTTTAGCCAAATTTTAATAGGTATTTCAATTTGAATTTGTTATTTAATGGCGTAGAATGCCCTGCGTGCTTTCTCTCTCAGTACATTCACTGCATCATTAAGGTGTCCAGTTGATAAGTAATTGTAGTGTGTGCAGTACTCTATATATTTTGTACCAATTGAGAACTTTGGTCTAATTCTCTGGAAAATCATTATTTTAGTCTTTTTGGGGTTTACTGCCAGGGTCCCGGTCTGGCAGTACTGTTCTAGCAGGTCCAGGCTCTGCTGTAAGGCCATGTGCTGTGGGTGACAGCAGGCACAGGTCATCTGCGAAGAGCAGGCATTTAACCTTTAACCTCTCTCTGTCTCTCGGTCTCTTGGTCTCTCTCTCTCTCTCTCTCTCTCCTCTCTCTCTCTCTCTCTCTCTCTCTCTCTCTCTCTCTCTCTCTCTCTCTCTCTCTCTCTCTCTCTCTGTGTGTCTATGTCTATCTGTGTCTCTCTCTCTCTCTCTGTCTCTCTGTCTCTCTGTCTCTCTCTCTCTCTGTCTCTCTTTTTTTCCCTCCTTCTCTCCCTTTCTTTCTCTCTGTCTCCCCACACACACATACACACAAGTATGTCTGTATGGGGATCAGAGAAGGATTGCAGCCGGCGTCTATCGTTCTGTACTGTATTTATAGATGCTGATGTATAATGACTGTTTTGCATTAAGAATACAGAGACATGGTTTGTGTGAGGCAGAGGCTGAGACATAGATAGAGACCGACTGTGTGTGTGTGTTTGTGTGTGTGTGTCCAATGTGTATTTATTGATGCACAGAGGGGATGAGGCAGTCAGACGGCAATCAGGACTTCATTCGTTGAGGATCAACAATGTTGTGACTTGGCAGAACAGTGTGATATTGTAGATAATATAAGATTACTGGTTATGTCTACATCAATTAGGTCTGGGAGTTTACAGTTCTACCTGAAAACACACAGGTTGTGCGTGTGTGTGTGCATGCATGCGTACGTACATACATGTGTGTATACAGTGGGGAAAAAAAGTATTTAGTCAGCCACCAATTGTGCAAGTTCTCCCACTTAAAAAGATGAGAGAGGCCTGTAATTTTCATCATAGGTACACGTCAACTATGACAGACAAAATGAGAAAAAGAAATCCAGAAAATCACATTGTAGGATTTTTTATGAATTTATTTTTAATGATCATTGTCATGCTGAAAGACCCAGCCACGTTTCATCTTCAATGCCCTTGCTGATGGAAGGAGGTTTTCACTCAAAATCTCACGATACATGGCCCCATTCATTCTTTCCTTTACACGGATCAGTCGTCCTGGTCCCTTTGCAGAAAAACAGCCTCAAAGCATGATGTTTCCACCCCCATGCTTCACAGTAGGTATGGTGTTCTTTGGATGCAACTCAGCATTCTTTGTCCTCCAAACACGACGAGTTGAGTTTTTACCAAAAAGTTCTATTTTGGTTTCATCTGACCATATGACATTCTCCCAATCCTCTCCTGGATCATCCAAATGCACTCTAGCAAACTTCAGACGGGCCTGGACATGTACTGGCTTAAGCAGGGGGACACGTCTGGCACTGCAGGATTTGAGTCCCTGACGGCGTAGTGTGTTACTGATGGTAGGCTTTGTTACTTTGGTCCCAGCTCTCTGCAGGTCATTCACTAGGTCCCCCCGTGTGGTTCTGGGATTTTTGCTCACTGTTCTTGTGATCATTTTGACCCCACGGGGTGAGATCTTACGTGGAGCCCCAGATCGAGGGAGATTATCAGTGGTCTTGTATGTCTTCCATTTCCTAATAATTGCTCCCACAGTTGATTTCTTCAAACCAAGCTGCTTACCTATTGCAGATTCAGTCTTCCCAGCCTGGTGCAGGTCTACAATTTTGTTTCTGGTGTCCTTTGACAGCTCTTTGGTCTTGGCCATAGTGGAGTTTGGAGTGTGACTGTTTGAGGTTGTGGACAGGTGTCTTTTATACTGATAACAAGTTCAAACAGGTGCCATTAATACAGGTAACGAGTGGAGGACAGAGGAGCCTCTTAAAGAAGAAGTTACAGGTCTGTGAGAGCCAGAAATCTTGCTTGTTTGTAGGTGACCAAATACTTATTTTCTACCATAATTAGCAAATAAAGTCATTAAAAATCCTACAATGTGATTTTCTGGATTTCTTTTCTCAATTTGTCTGTCATAGTTGACGTGTACCTATGATGAAAATTACAGGCCTCTCTCATCTTTTTAAGTGGGAGAACTTGCACAATTGGTGGCTGACTAAAAACTTTTCTTCCCCACTGTATGTACTGTATATGCATGTGTTTGTGTGTGTGCGTTCATGCATGCGTTTGCATGAACTGTGTGTGTGTGTGGGAGGCATGTGTGTTTCTCTGGACACTAAGGGGTTCACTATAAACTGGTATGAACAGTTAACTAGTCCAACAAGTCAATTAATATATCTTCTCATCTAATCACTTGCTTTCATACACCTGTTTCTCTCTGTCCTCCCCCTGACTGTCTCCCTTTCTTTTTGTGCTCTCTTAAATTCCTTCCCCCCTATCTCTTGGCCTCTCTATGTTCTTTGCAAACAAACTTTCCACATCTCTCTGTTCTCTACACCTCTTCTCTTCTCATACTTTCTGTTGTTCATCCCCTAAAGTATACGGAAGGACACTGAGAAGAGTGTTAGGTTACTAATCCTCAGTCATGTTTCAGTGCACAGTCTCCCTAATGTCGTTCAACCTCTCATTCTCTATCTCTCAACCTCTATCTCTCTGCTCTTTCTCCCCCCCCCCCCTCTCTCTCTCTCTCTCTCTCTCTCTCTCTCTCTCTCTCTCTCTCTATACTACACTGTGACGTATTGTATTTAGCTATATTGTAATTGTCTTTATTCTGTGTTTTCTATAATGACGTTTACGATGCCACACATATTTTCCCCAAGGGGACAATAAAGTCAGCAAATAAGTCTCTCTCTTTCTCTCTCTGTCTCTCCCCCCTCTTCCTCCCTTTCTCCTTCCCACCCTATCCCCCTCTTTCTCTCTCTCCCCCAGTTGCTGTGGTGCAGGGGGACTTTGTGGAGCCCTCTCCCCTGTTCTCGATGCGCTCCTTGACCGAGGTTGAGACCCGGCTGCCCTGCCGGTTCAAGGTGGAAGTGGGCCAGGTGGTGGTTCAGGTCTGAAGCATGATTTACTACAGTACCCATAATTCTCTGTACAACATATCCGGTTTTATATTAGAAAATACATCCCTAACATGATGGTGTCTCGCCTCTCCTTGTCACAGGTCACCTGGACCAAGGAGAAAGCAGATGGTACCAAGGACCAGATGATCACAGTTCACCACACTGCCGGACACACAGGTAGGACACGTATATAGTAGGGTCAACCATCTTTCTCTTTATAATATTGTAGCGAACGGCAGGGCAGGAAAGCGAACCCAGGTCGCTGGCGTGAAAGGCAAACACCCAACATTTCATGCCAATAGGGTTAACCCACTTGGTGGGAATTGTAACATATAGCAAGGACTGCCCCATCTGAACGGGAAAGCGCGTCCCAGCGCTTCGGCTACTCAGCCTCCTCACACGTCCGGGTTGTGGGTTCCGATGACCTCACAGCCGGCATCCCACTTCTGACACCACTGTAGTGAACGACGCGGCAGGGAAGCGAACCCGAGTCGCTGGTGTGAAAGGCAAACACCGTACGCATTGTGCCAATAGGGTTAACCCACTTGGTGGGAATCGTAACAAGGCTCATATAGTGAGGATCACTACATTATATTGGTAGTTCACCCTCTTTGCTAACACTCGAAGCCTCACAAGTAGTTGACAAAACTACAGATGCACTTTTAACCTAGCTACTCCTCCATCTCTCTCTTTTTGCCTCCCCAATATCTCTCTTCCTCTCTCGTCTATCTCTCTCCTCCTCCCCCTCTCTCAGAGTTTGGTCAGTACTCGGGGCGTGTGCGGTTCGGCAGCAGTGAGCCCACGGTGGACTCGTCTCTGATCATCATGAACACTGTGGAGTCAGACGAGGGCAGGTACAACTGTCACATCAGCACCTTCCCCTCTGGGAACTTTGAACGACAGCTGTCACTCACCGTGTGGAGTAAGTCCCTCCCCTTACTTCCTCTTCCTCATTGTATCACTTTGATTTACAGAGTATAATGTCCTTCTATGGCCTATATCTTTTAATGGAAAGAGAGTGGTTGATTGGTTGGATGATGACGATGATGATGATGTTGATAATAATGAGGATGTTGATGATGATGATGATGATAATGAGGATGATGATGTTGTTGATAATGATGATGATGGGAACAGGTGTCAGTTGTAGTATTACCAGCTAAAACAATAGCTTCAGTTGTGGTAATAGTAGTCATATAAGCCACAAGATCAGTAAACGATTAAGAACTGTCCTTGTGACTGTCAGTGTATCCAGCTGTCTGAGTTTTTTAGGATTAAGTATCCTCAAAGAGCTGATCAAGGGGTTTTTAAACACCTACCTAACGGAGAAGATTAGTTCTCAGCTTGGGTCATGACAAAGCTGATCCTAGTGCAGTGCTTAGTGACTTCCACCCCCTGAAGTATCATGTCACTGATCTAGGAACAGATGAACCTCCAACTAACAACTAAGACCAGTTCTAAGATTAGTCCTAAAATCACCTCCCCAAACAAAACACTAAGACCAGTGATTAGTTGCTTCCTCTCCCTGAAGCAAGTCTGACAGGTGAACATTCTTGATCCTTGACATTTGACCCTTGACCTCACCCCCACCACAGCCACACCCATCTCCTCCCTGGACCCCGTGGTCCTTGTCGAGGGCCAGTCCTACCGATTGGCCGCCTCCTGCCGCTCCGTGGCCCGCCCCCCCCCCAGCCTCTCCTGGGACACGGACCTGACGGGCAGTTCACAGAACAGGAGCTCGGTGGGTAGGTCAGTCTCCATTCACTACTCGCTGCACCCCCTGAGGAGTATGAACGGGAAGAGGCTGGACTGTCTGGTGTGGCACCCGACTCTGGAGGGACCCCGCAGGATCACCAACAACCTGGTGGTGCACTGTGAGTTCAGACTCCATAATAACTACAATTCTAGATACTTAATGCACATCTCATTGAGTTTAGTCGCCAATTAATGACTTATTAAACCAGCTAATAAGCCATATATGTTTTATGCTTGACCTCTGACCTCTTATGCTTCATTCCAAATTGACAAATTTAGAAAATAAATATTAGAAAAAATTATTTAGGGGATTTTTGCTTTTTTATTTAGACAAATTAGAAACAGCTGGGAGACAGATTAGGAAGACAAAGTGGGAAAGGTGGAGGCATGGATCAAATCCTGGTCTTCGTGGTTGTGTACATGTGCCTAGACCACCAGAACATGTGGACTAGTTAATTGAGTACATAAAAATGGTGGTTACCAGGGTCAGAGCTTAGCTTTAAACTCCCATGGGTGTGAGGCATAACCAGGGGCCCCCCTCCTGTGCGTCAAATCTTACTCAGTATGGACAATCACTACCTCATTTCCCAAGTCAAACATGTACAGATAATATTGCTTTTCTAATTTAATTTACCAATGATTTAAGCAAGTTTTATCTACCATGATGAACACAAGCTTGGATTAGGCTAAAGACATTCGTACCAGCAGTTACAAGACAAATAGCTACAGTACATGACCAAAAGTATGTGGACACCTGCTCGTCGAACATCTCATTCCAAAATCATGGGTATTAATATGGAGTTGGTCCCCCCTTTGCTGCTATAACAGCCTCCACTCTTCTGGAAAGGCTTTCCACTAGATGTTGGAACATTGCTGCGGGGACTTGCTTCCATTCAGCCACAAGCGCATTAGTGAGGTCGGGCACTGAGGTTGGGCGATTAGGCCTGACTCGCAGTCGGCGTTCCAATTCATCTCAAAGGTGTTTGATGGGGTTAAGGTAGCTCTAGCAGGGCAGAAATTTGACGAACTGACTTGTTGGAAAGGTGGCATCCTATGACGGTGCCACGTTGAAAGTCACTGAGCTCTTCAGTAGGGCCATTCTACTGCCAATATTTGTCTATGGAGATTGCATGTCCGTATGCTCAATTCTATACACCTGTCAGCAACGGGTGTGGCAGAAATAGTCAAATCCACTAATTTGAAGGGGTGTCCACATACTTTTGTATATACAGTGCATTCAGAAAGTATTCAGTCCCCTTGACTTTTTCCACATTTTGTTACGTTACTGAACGGAGCAAAATACAGCGCGATCCTTGAGGATAACCTGCTCCAGAGCGGTTCACCATCAACAGGACAACGACCCTAAGCACACAGCCAAGACAATGCAGGAGCGGCTTCAGGACAAGTCTCTGAATGTCCTTGAGTGGCCCAGCCAGAGCCTGGACTTGAACCCGATCGAACATCTCTGGAGAGACCTGAAAATAGCTGTGCAGCGACACTCCCAGCGACACTCCCTATCCAAGCTGACAGAGCTTGAGAGGATCTGCAGAGAAGAATGGGAGAAATGTCCCAAATACAGGTCTGCCAAGCTTGTAGCGTCATACCCAAGAAGACTCAAGGCTGTAATCGCTGCCAAAGGTGCTTCAACAAAGTACTGAGTAAAGGTCTGAATACTTATGCAAATGTAATATTTCAGTTTTCGATTTTTTATAAATATGCAAAAAATTCTAAAAAACTGTTTTTGTTTTGTCATTATGGTGTATTGTGTGTAGATTGTTGAGTGAAAAAAACGATTTAATCAATTTTAGAATAAGGCTGTAACGTAACAACATTTGGAAAAAGTCAAGGGGTCTGAATACTCTGAATGCAGTAAATAATACACACAGAGAAATGACGCGGTGTAGCCTATAAATGGCATATTTATTCGGATAATAATTAAACTCATTATGACACTTTCTTTCCTCCCTTTCTAACTTGACGCTGCCATGCAGCTGCTGCTCCTGTCATTGCTCACGGTCACCGGATTCACTGTTAGTGTCAGGGACGTTGTTGTTAGTCTCAATCTTCTCATGCTGCTTAACTTGACTAAATAAATGTGTTAAGGGTACATATGAGCAGGTTTTTTTAAAAAATCCTGGTCTCCCTTTTTTTCGTTGCTTTTGAGCCCCAGATTTACACCTACGTTCCATTTTAGCCAGAGCTCAGACTTGTTGCTAGCTAGCCAGCTAGATCTGAAGCTAATCCCCACCAATTTTCTTCAATTATATGAAAAACATTATTGAGGGCCCCTCTCATTTGCTGCCATATCTACCATGAATTAACCCAAGCTTGTATTAGGCCACAGAAATGCATACCTGCAGTTACAAGGCAAACAGCATAACCATGCAGTAAATAATATGCTCAGACAAATGACCTGGTGAAGCCTACACATGGGATATTATCCTGTAGTAGCATTGTCCATGCGTGTTAAAATCAATTGCTCTCTGATCTTGTTTCTCTGTTGTAGATCCTCCCAATGCAGAGATCTCAGGGTTTGATCAGAACTGGTATGCTGGTCTGGAGGGAGCTGTCCTCAGCTGTGTCAGTGGAGGAAACCCCAAACCACAGAGTTTCACCTGGACAAGGTAACACCTGCCCTTCCTGCCTGACGGCATCTGTCTGTCTGTCTGTCTGACTGACTAAACTGTCTCACTCTGTCTGTCTGGCTAATCTGTTTTGGTTTGATTTACTGGTGATTCTATTAGTCAGTTTTAAAGGTGTTACTAAGCCAAACGGGGAGGTCAGGCGTTGTCTCTAGTTTTGCTATGAGTTCCACTTGCCAGGTTGTCATTGTCAATAATAAGGTGATTGACTTGAATATTTCCAGGGTTTTTCTTTATTTTTACTATTTTCTACATTGTAGATTAATAGTGAAGACATCAAAACTATGAAATAACACATATGGAATCATGTAGTAACTAAAAAAGTGTAAAACAAATCAAAATATATTTTGTATTTGAGATTCTTCAAAGTAGCCACCCTTTGCCTTGATGACAGCTTTGCACACTCTTGGCATTCTCTCACATGATTCCATATGTGTTATTTCATAGTTTTGATGTCTTCACTATTATTCTACAATGTAGATAATAGTCAAAATAAAGAACAATCCTTGAATGAGTAGGTGTGTTCCAAACTTTTTACTGGTACTGTATTGTCATACACGGTGATGATTGCTGTGCTGAAGCAATCCAATAAAGGCGGAGCTGACTGAAGTTCTTGTGGTTTCTCACCTGACACATTTTTCTGGTAACCTTTGGAAGACATCCTGCATGGTGGATTAAACCATTCTCGGGGAGTGGTAGAGGGTAGAGGTGGAACGAACCATCTACTGGAAATTGCTTCAGAAAAATGTCTCATTAATAAAAAGTGACAGTTAGGCCTTTGGGGGAATTTAGAGTCTCAGTCAGAAGTGATATATTTTTATATGTGTGGTTTCCTGGATCATGGCCCACTTGGCACACACTGGTTGAATCAATGTTGTTTCCACATAATTTCAATGAAACTAGTGTGGTGAGACGTGTCACCAAGTCTTAAGCTGTTAGTCACATGAACACACCTGCAAGGCGTGTGTGTGTGTTAGTAACACACACACACACACACACACACACACACACACACACACACACACACACACACACACACACACACAAGACACACACACAGTATGCTCACACACCCACACTGATTCTGTCAATCTCACCCTTATATACTTAAGACTGAGATCTCTTGTTACACTGAATTGCTCCTTACTTACGTGTACTCCTCCTTAAAACACACACGATGCCGCACACTCGTGATGAATGATGAGTAAGAAAGTTAAAGAGGCACAAAGATCATACCCCCAAAACACGCTAACCTCTCACCGTTACCAATAACAGGAGAGGCTAGCATTCTTTCCAAGGGAGTATGATATGTATGCCTCTAACTTTTTCACTCCTCATTATTCACAATTCATTCATGCTTATCCATATCCACATTAATGTAGAATTGTTCAGAAACATATTCTATTCTTATTTACAATAAAAGTGATCCCAAAACGACACCGTCCTTAGCTCTTCAGAGATTAAATTATTGGTACGTTTTTATTTATAAGGCCATATTGAGAGAGCTCCCATTTTATTTGTGTAACTACCTTGTCCAGCAGACCAATGAAAACTATCACCTGTGCTCACATGACTGTGTTGTGTTGATTGTGCCTAAGACCCGTACAGAGCTAGCGAAAAATGTTTTACAGTTCTCTGCCCCTTCCGATTTGAACAAGCTTCAAAAGGTCCTGAAAATACAGGAGCTCATCCGTTTGAATGAGCTTAAAGCTAGGTTAAACACTATGATGGATAATGAAGTGGGGGGCTGTCAATGTTTTGACCCTTAGTTTGCACCACACTGTCCCAAACCATCTTGCTGTTCAATGTGTAAATGTTTTTTAACTGTAGTGCTTTGTGTTTTATGTTGTAAATGTGTCTGCAACTTTGTGTGCTGCTATTTTGGCCAAGTCTCTCTTGTAAAATATATTGTTAATGTCAATGAGACTAACCGGGTCAATTAAAGGTAAAATAAAATCATTGATATTGGGCACAACATAATCTGAAACACAACCAAAACAAACTGCAAATGTATCCAACAAGTTTGAAGAGTCACAAGCTTGATATAGTCATTGCATGCTGGGAATAAGGGACCAAATAATACAACTTTTAACTACTTTAATACACTATAAGTGAATTTGTCAAAATACTTATGACACCTTCAAATGGGGGGACTAGATACATAAAGTGCTTTCATTTCTAAAAGGTAAAACAAATATGTATGAAAATACCCTCAAATAAAAGGTGACATTCTGTACTGTCACCTCATATGAAACATTTGATGGAGTATAGAGCCAAATTAAACATTTAGCTTCACTGTCCAAATAAATACGTAGGGTAGTGTACTTAAAACACACACAACGCCCACCCGCACGCACCCATGCAGTGGGTAAACCAGTTTGCCTCTTTGTACAAAGCAGCAGGTGAAGTAATAACCTGTAATAGTGTCGTGTTGCAGCTTGTGCAGAGAGCAGACAGAGGAGGCAGTTTCACACGAGGGAGGGAGGGGGGGGTGAGAGAGGGAAGAGAAAGGGATGAGTGTTGGCTCCGAATAGGAGGGGTCGAAAGACAAGGAATGGGGGAAGTGGGAGGTATCGAGCCAAAGTGGGCATGCGATGGGGGAGGAAGGCTAGACTGTGGATTTGTTTAGAACAGTATCAGGCAGTGTGATCTGTGTCTATGTAAAATGTTACGGTTTCTGTTTTCTCCTGCTTATTGGGGCTCATATAGGGTCTGTTCAAAAGTCCCAGAACAGGACTCAAAGCTATATAGTAGCCTATTGTTCATATATAAGACGTTTGAAATGGGAGTTCTGGGCCCGTATTCACAGTGTATCAGAGTAGGTGTGCTGATCTAGGATCAGGTCCCCCCTCTTATTCATGATATGATTTAAAGCCCAAACTGATCCTAGATCAGCACTCCTACTCTGTGATGCTTTCTGAATATGGGTCCTGGTTTGTTGTGGCCTCAAACACTGCTTCATGTCATTGTGGTGCTCATTTGACCTTTCGGGTTAGTGTTGTTTGGTGACCAATAGCCAATAGTAATTTGAGATGTGTTGCTATGATGTTCGGGTCATTGTTGTTGTTTTGAATGTGATGTTTTGTATGATACTGTTGGGTGTGTTAAAGGAGTGCGTTCAGGTTCTGTGAGTGGTGTTGGGCGTTAATAGAGTCATGACATTCAGCCCATTATTGTAGGATATACTGTATTCTTCTGTTAAACCCTATGTTAAGTGCTATAGTATTTCTGTTATGCGCAGGAAGGGTGGAGACTTACCAGAGGGCGTAACGGCAAGAAATGGATCCCTGCTGTTTAATAGGCCCCTCAGCCTGACAGACGCTGGCATCTACCAATGTGTGGCCAATAACGTTGTGGGGGTGGGGAAAGCAGAGGTGGAGATCACTGTGACAGGTAGGTTGTGCTGTCATATAAAACAAATAACTTTTGGGATGTATGGGAGTTTTTCTTTTTGCTGTAGGCCATGTTTCTGTCCTAAAGAAATAACTCTGTATTAAATTAATGGTGCCATTTAAGCATTTGGCTTATATGTTCACTTCTGTATTCAATATGATGTGTATGTTGTTTAAGAATATGACATCACTTCCTGTTGTCCCTTTCCCACAGAGTTGCCTCAGAATCCGGCGTTGTTCAATAGTCTCCTGATGATCATAGTGGGAGGGGTGGCCGGAGGACTGCTACTCATCATGGTCATCGTAGTAATCTCAGTGACCCGTCACCACAAACGCAAAAACAAGAAACTGGAGAAAGAACTGACTGTAAAGAAGTATGTTTTCAAACCCCGCAGTAACTCCCCTAAAATCATTCTAGAATCTAAATTATAAATGTTACGCCGAAACAGTAAATGCTTTTTGAATTAAGAATATTTAACAACGCTTTTATCTCTCTTTCTCTCGTTCTCTCGCTCTCAGGGAGGAGATCAGTACTCTCTCCAGACAGGCCTCTTTCAGGAGAGTCAACTCAGTCAGTACGGATGCTAGAGGACAGGTATATAATATGACCATGTCTTACAATCTGTGGTCTCTACTCAACAGTCTAGGCATGCAGTCATTTTGTAAATAAATACTTGCAATTCCACGAGCATTATCTATTTGCCTCGAGCTAATATGGTATCTCGCTCTCTGTCTCCCTCCCTCTCTCTCTCTGTCTCCCTCCCTTTCACTCCCCCTCCCCTCTCTCATCCCTAGTTCTTTCAGATGGAGGAGAATATCCCTCTCAGAGTGGAGGGGACACTGCGGGCCAGTCTGTCCTCTCTAGGGGTCAGTCTTAATTTCACTCTTTCTCTGCATGCAGGCAAGCCTTTAGATTTAGCCTCCATATTCATGGATGCTAAGTTCTGAGCTCTGAGGGGCAGGCAAATCTTATGTTAATGTTTAATTAACATTTATATAAATAATGAAATGTAAGGAGCTTCTTTTCTTTAAATAACATTTTTATGTGAAAAGAAAAGTAGTGCATCGCACATACCGTATATTAATTATACTTCATATTAATTATACGTTATGTTATTAAGACTTAATGCTTTCTCTCCATCTTCTGTTCTGGAACTCCTGCTTCGGAAGCCATTTTAAATCTATTTTTCTCTCTCGATCTCTCTTTTCTTCACACACAGGAGCAAGGGCACATCAGGGACAGCCGCTCTACTCTGGTAGGGGGAGGTGGGCTAGACTACCTGGGTCGACCTGTTCTGAACAACTCTTCACGAAGAGGGAGGGAGAGCAGAGCCACAGACAGAGAGGAAAACAGACTTAGGGTGGAGTCATACGTCCGGAATAGCACTATGTCTTTGGTAAGTGTGTGAGAGGCATGAGGAATCATGAATTGCATACCCACGTTCTTGTAAATTGCTATGAAAATGTGAACCTTTTAAACTCATACATTTAGTATAGGTTGCTAATAGTCATACTCAAATTAGCCCTAGTTATTTATTTCCTCTATCTAACCACATGGTTACCCCTTGACTCTGTTTGACTCACAGGAAACCCGTCTCCACCCGCCTATCCAACCCTCTCCCTTCCCAATGGAACAATCCACCAAGCTGCTGAGGTCCCTGAACGGCAGCGCCATCATTCCAACAGAGGGGGGTTTACATGTACGGCACTCCCCTCTCAGCTGCAGCTACCCTCCCGTCACAGACGAAGAGGAGGAGGGTGAAAGTGTGGAGGGAGAGCGGGGGACAAGCCCCAGGATGAGTCTGATAGATCAGGGGAGGTCAGAGGACCAGGACAACAGTTCTCAGATCTCAGATGCGGAACGTGGACTCAACCATCACTTCCAGCAGAACAATGGAATGTTGAGACCCAAACCCCGGCCCAACGGCATCCCCCTCACCCCATCCCCACACGCCTCCCTCATCCACAAGGCCCAGATTGTATAGAGGAGTCCGGGCAAGGGCAGATGACGCACTATACGACAAGGACTGGTTGTGACTGTTTGGGATAGGTGCCCGCCGGTGTGGTGGCATAACTCAGTGGCAGCCAGTTTACATCCTTTTCACTTCTGGAGCATACCTCCACCTTCGTCCTCAAGCTCTCAGAGATGTCTGATCAGCAGATAAAGGTTTTGATTGGTGAACAGATAATGCTTCTGATTGGTGTAGAGATACAAATAAGTAACACATATGTATCACAGGAGAGGAGCTGGACATGTCAAATAAAAAGCTTATGAATGTCAGGTTGGACATAGACCAAAGTAGTCATAACATTGTACTGTATATAATATCACAGCAATAACGATCACTCCAGGAAGCATCAAGAGGACATTTACATGATTTTGTACCCTAAAAAGACTCCACCACGCATTTTGTATTGTATTTTATTATTATTTTTGAAGACATGATGACAGGACACTGTAACTGAGATACAGTATTTGAATATCAACTAATGCAGTGACTCCTAACTGAACTCAGAGAAGAGGCATTCAGCAGAAGCACAAATAGCGCCTGCCCGTTGTGTTGGTGAACTTTCACCCTCCTTTCCTCTGGATGAGGGGATACAACACATATTGTTCTGTTCACCCTAAAATGGAGTCCATCTTTCTGACTTTAAGTGTGGCAGGAGTTTATCTAGATATACCCCTCCTTGCCATGAACTTGGGTGTGCACAAACAACATCACTTTGAACTCGCTATAGTCTTTGACGCCAAAAGCCAAAGAGACTGCATTTTAGCAGTGGAAAAAGTACCCAATTGTCATACTTGAGTAAAGTAAAGATACCTTAATAGAAAATTACTCAAGTAAAAGTGAAAGTCACCCAGTAAAATACTACTTGAGTAAAAGTCTAAAAGTATTTGGTTTTAAATATACTTAAGTATCAAAAGTAAAAATATTACTCATCAAATTCCTTATATTAAGCAAACCTGACGACACAATTTTTTTTTTTTTTTTTACATTTACGGATAGACAGGGGCACACTCCAACACAATTTACAAACAAAGATATATTTTTAGTGAGTCCGCCTGATCAGAGGCAGTAGGGATGACCAGGGATGTTCTCTTTATAAGTGTGTGAATTCGACCATTTTCCTGTCCTGCTAAGTGTTCAAAATGTAACAAGTACTTTTGGGTGTCAGGGAAAATGTATGGAGTAAAAAGTACATTATTTTCTTAAAGAATGTAGTGAAGTAAAATGTTTCAAAAATATAAATAGTAAACTACAGATACCCCAAAAAATGACTTCAATAGTAGTTTAAAGTATTTTTTACTTAAGTACTTCACACCACTGCAAACAGCCTTGATATGAAACGTTTTACACAACAGTGAGATCCTATGTGAAAGTCTACTAAAACTGAGGACTTGTATTGTTCTATTTTCTTACACCAGACATTTAGACAATATAACTGTTATATGCCTATGTTTGTATACATACAGTTAAAAGAGCCTTTGCTTTTTAGGCCAATATGAAGTATTATTATGTCTGATTTTACTGTATTATAATGAATTGAGTGCGTCCGAAATGACACCCTATTCCCTACATAGTGCATTACTTTTGACCAGAGCCGCTGGTCAAAATAAGTGCACTATATAGGGCATAGGATGCCATTTCAGACGCAGACATGCTGTGGGCCTACATCTCTATAAGTGGGTTTCTTTCATGCCGTGTTCCAGTAAATGGCTTATTGTAGTTCCCTGGTTTGTATGTAATTGTATTGTATGTATGGGATTCATGTGTGGAACTTTATATTGTTTTAATGCACATGTTCTTCTTTAGGAGAGTAGCAGTATCATTCCATTATTTTCTATAACAATTTTCCTTTGTATAATACTGCAACACTATGATCTTTCTAAGTGAATGTAATACCTACATAGAATGTAAGAGGTTGGAAGTATATACCCCGCCCCCTGGTGTGCGCTAGTGGATAGTGCAAGAGAGGAAGAAAGTGCATGGACCTTGCTTCAAGGGTCTGCAGACAGGGTTTTTCCTGGCGAGGTCACATGGTCATGTGAAAACTCCTGGCCCTAACCACGAGCTACAGTTGCCACAACTGGGGCCTGTTCAGAAGGATGTTGTAACAGAAAGTTCAGATTCAGAAATGTATAATAGATATGATTGGTAGAACAAGGAATTGTCAGCTCTATTCATTCTATTTCTATCTGCAACTTTCAGAACGTTGCACTAAATCCATCCCTGTATGACTTCTAAACATGGAGATGTGTTAATTCAGGGAGTGAGTCTGTCTGAGCAATGTATTATTGTGAAATAAAAGGGTTTGAGTCGTGGTTGAGTTGTGACTGTTTGTAAGTCGCTCTGGATAAGAGCGTCTGCTAAATGACTTAAATGTAATATAAATGACTGAGTCGTGGTTGAGTAGTGACTTGGTGATAGGCCCTATTATTATTGTTTTGGAGTGACTATCATTATAGCCTTATATTTGACATTTATCAAAATCATTTCAAAACTTGTGGTACTGTTCTCTATCATATAGCAAAGTTGAATGATTGTATATTGATTAAAACGTAAACATGCATTATTATAGTGAAACAAGAACATTTTACAACTTTATTCACAATTCCAAAATAACGATGAATGTCAAAGCATTGTCAGAATGAAAGCTACAGGTTGTGCCTTTAACCTGCGTCCTCCCAGTGGCTTCTTTCAGGAAGCAGTATTAGATTACTTCCAATATTAGAAAGAAGATACTGATTAAGTCAAACAAACCAATGCCGCAGCCTCCTCTCAACAACCCTGAACCATATGGCTTCTGAAATGTATGATATCCTTATTTTTTTGCTACATTTCCCACAGACGTGGGTTTTGAGGTGGGACGCCAGAGCAAAGGTTTTACCGCTGTGATTGCAGACGAACGGCTTCTCTCCTGTGTGCAAGGACTTTAGGATTTGTGTTCATAGAAACCCTTGCCACATTCGTCAGTTATTAGGCGGTTCTTCTGTGTGGGTGCGTTCGTGTCTCTTGCGCTTACGTTGACCTTTGAAGCCTTTCCACAGTAGCTGCACGCTAACGGCTTGCTGGTCAGGTGCGAGGCTTGATGCTTCTTAAGGTACCTCGACCGAATGAAGGTTATTGGGCATTTGTCGCAAGCATACGGCTTGGATTCCGTGTTGACTCTTCTTATTGTCGCTAAGCGTATACTTGATTTTGAAACATCCGACACAGAGTACTGGAATGCTCACTCTTCTGAATGAACACTTGGGTGAACCTCTGGTTTTAACTTTGAACGTGGTCTCCTTGCTATTTGTAGCCTTGTCAGCCTCACCAATGGGAGTTTGCATGTCAACCTGAAAAAATATATAATTTGTAAATGGATCTCCAACATAGTCACAGAGCAGCACCCCTGGAACAGGTTAGGGAGTTAATTGCCTTGCTCAACGGTACAACCCGTCAAGTCATGTGATTCAAGGATCATAATAGTAAAGGGCTTATGCCCACTGATAAAGTTAGCCCCCTGGCCTGCATAATTCATGCAAACATGTCAAATATAACAAACCTCTAAATCCTCTGCAAACTCTGGTGAATATGGTAATCTCGTCCATTCCTCCCCTTCCACTGTCTGTGGAGTTCATTCCACTGTGTTTTCAGGTATCTCCTTACCATCAGTAATCTCCAATAGCTTCATTTTCAGTGATTTAATCTCACTTTGACTCTGGGATATCTCCGAAAGTAGTACTGCAATGCCTTTGAAGATCAACTGGTTGATTTTGATAATAGTCTTTCACAAAAGGTTGCTTCACATTCAACTGGACCTAGAATCTATTGGGGATTTATTATTCTCCTAAATTGATGGGATGACTAACTTAGCCCAGTCAAGAATGCATTCTTTCTAATGTAGGCTGTGACACCTGGCAGGCTGTGATTGATGTGAAGAGCTGTTTTAGGGGGTAAAATGAGATAAGGATTGTGTCTTCAAATGCTAGACTATACTGGTTCTTTGTGATCTGTGAGCCTTCCTTGGACGTAGGAATGATGTCTAAGGGAGCTGGCTCTTCTCACTATGATAGGTTGTTATGATAAACTTGTGCCTGGCTGAAGTGTGCAACAAATGGCGCCGAGGAGATGAGACCAACCCCTGAACCAACGGATTGGCTGAGTAAAGTTTAAACCACACTCAGTTCTTTACTCTGATTGGCCAGCAGAGAAGTGGGAAACTTTCTCTGTCAGAGTATTTGAGCAACAATCTGAAACAATGGATTTAGTTCTCTGGGGTGTCCTGCGAGGTATCTCAGAGAGCCCGTATATACGAAACATCATATTTACCATTGAAGGTTTTTGCATTAATTAAAATAACTAGTATATCTTAGAAGTCGTGTTGACCTCTTTTGTTCCTAATACCAGATTTGAATTGACGCGACTTTGACAATTGGTGACCCCGACGCGGGCTGATAGAAGGGACTTCGCTGGGTAATGTCCGGCACATTTGGTCACCTCTTTCATCGAACCGTATGTTTCACAAACTGCCCGGGCTTCTAAAAAGGTAAGCAGATACCTATTGTTAAATAACCAAAGATCTGCACATTGGCTTTATCCAAATTAATTTTGTGAAACACCTGTCTGATGTAAGTGAACTAAATTATGAAACTATTATGAGTAGATAAGCACAATATTGTGACATGCAAACCTTTGCTAAATGTGATGTTTAAAACCATGGTACCAGAGAGTGTTGGTTCTACCGGCAAGGTCCGTTAAGATACGGCTAGGTTCAGGAGACAATACTGACATCTACCGGCAAGGTCCGTAATTGCGACAATACGGATAAGGTTCGGAAGATATAGGGAATAATTGGTTTAAGTAATTGCTATCGGCAAGGTTCGTAACTACGACAGTACGACTAAGGTTCGAAGAATTACACCGGCAAGGTCCGTAACTGAGATACGGCTAGGTTCGGGAAATTTTAGATAAATACTAGCGACTGGCAAGGTCCATAACTTCGAGGATATGGCTAGGTTCAACGGAGTATTTTTTAAAGATAGTAGAAGAGGCTGTGTGCCCAAATAGATTGTGTGTGGAATATAAGTGTGTCATTTATGACTGTGTGACATGGGTGTCATTTATGACTGTGTGACATGGGTGTCATTGATGACTGTGTGACATATTTGACTGTATGATAGGATTATGACTGTGTATTGTGAGTGAGGGCGATAACTGTGTACTATTTTTGCTGTGTGATAACTGTATACTACGCTTAACTGTGTACCATTTTTGGCTGTGAATACAAAGAATATTTTAAAACAGTAAATAATGAGAATTACAAATAGGAAATAAGGTTTAAATTGTGCAAACGTTAACAAAAGACACCCATAGGAGGTACTATAAAAAGTTAGACAGTGCGAGTGTTGTCGTATGCATGAAAGTGTGAATGATAAACCTGTATACCTTGATAGAAAACAAATTGGGAATCAAAAGACGTTTGTGGCTGTTCAAACGGTATAATTTGGGAATAAATGTTGGATTTGTGGTTACTCAAACCATATAACCCGTCAGTGACAATCGAAAACATGAAATGAAAAGTGATGAATTGATATATTTGAAATATAACATTTGGTGTTTGAAATAGCATAATACTGCTTTTGGATAGTTGTGTCGAAACAATTCGGTTTAGTATTTGATTTGATGTTTGACATAGCATAATACTGGTTTTAGGTGCTTGGTGTGGGCTATTTGGTTTATTATTTGATTTAACGTTTGATGTTTGACCGTGCAAAATACTGGTTAAACAATTAGACCGAAATAATTCGGTTTATCGTTGAGATATAAACGTGCACCAACTTTAACTAATTAGGTGGGAATTATTTGATTTAAATAAATAGACTGAAGTACTTTGAATAATGGCAGAATATTGGAAAATGCGCTAAAACGAGAAAACAGCTCCTCACAGCTCCTCAAGTTGCGAAGGGAGGGGCTGGAGAGAGCGAAAGTGTGGCTTTTGGAGCCATGAAAAGACTGGGAGATGGCTGGGAACGCATGTGGGTATCTGACGAGAGAATGTTCTAAACTTGCTCACCCGAGCGTCATGGGTGAGAAAGTAGAGAATGTTTACATTTGCGGTAATTTGGCAGACGCTCTTGTCCAGAGCGATTTATGGGAGCAATTGGGGTTGAGTGCCTTGCTCGAGGGCACATCGGCAGATTTTTCGCCTGGTCGGCTCGGGGATTGGAACCGGCGACCTCTCGGTTGTTGGCGCGGCGCTATTGGTCACTAAACTGCCAGCCGCCCCATATGAGTTTAAGATTGTGGCGTTGTTGGATAATGTGATTGGAATAAACTGACCATAAGTAATGTTGTTTTAGACGTAATGTATAATATAGTACAAAGCAAATAGAGGGTTAAATTGAACTAATTATCATGGTAGAGCTAACGTAGTACAGTGAGGGAACTTCATTTTGTGTCAGAGGGTAAGATGAGATCATTAATGGTACTATTGGTGGAAATCTATTTATCATTTCAAGGCATGGAGTAACAATCTGCATTTATGAGTGTAAATTCCACGGCTGATGTGTTGATTGAATGGGTACGATGGAGTATTTGGTTTGGTAATGTTGAATGGACTATTTGTAGCGTGTTTAGGGGTTAAATAGAAAAACTAACGTATTCAATAGGGAATGGGTAAGAGAGAGAGAGTTTTTTGCTGAGGTGAAACCTACTGCGATTTTCATTTGGTGACGTCACTTGCTCTATGAACTGGGAGTAGTTACTTTGAGAGCATCGCAGATGGTGTGGAGTGACTGGCGATGTCCCTGGTTCGAACACAGGTAGGGACAGTAGACAAAGCTTTCGCAGTGGGGCTATATACCTAGATTACTATGTGGATTGAGAAATGTGAAAGGTTGAATTAGATAGCTTAAATAGAAGTATTCTAGAAAAGTCTATGAAAATATGCTATAAGGTTACCATGCGCTCTCCTCGAAGGAGCAAGGGGAGGGTGAGAGACAGTATAGTTCAGATGGTAGGAATGTCATTAAGCGTATGCTGACCAACGATAGCAAGTATTTGTTTTATTAATTAGGGCCTAATCAGAGAGAACAGTTAAATAAATTGAATAGCGAACTGAAATGGGTTAGCGGGAAAATACAAGATAGATGGACCATTTTAGAACGATAATATATTTTGGTTAGGATGCAAGTATGCATTGGCTGTTGTGCTGGGGAATAGCGCCAGCCTGTGGTGTGTTATGGATTTGTTACATAAACTTATATTTTAAATTAAAGTGATGGAATAGGCTACAATTATAACATTATCAGAAAAAAGACACAATTTAATGTGAAATAGTTATTACAATTATTATTGATAGTTATTACAGTTATTATCATTGATCCAGTAATGATATAAGGATAGTAGAGGAAGGCAGGGGATTTAATCTCATTTAGGGAAGTTATATTAGGAAGAAAATACCATTAAATGAGGGAACATTTGATGTAACCGTGATTGTATTGGCTAAAAACTCAAATATGACATTTACAGGGGAGACAGGAACAATATAAGGGGAGACAGATTTTCCTAGGGGGTTGAATAAATAATTGATAAATGGATCATTTGAGATGAGATCACATGTAGCAGAGTTAGGGTAATCAATTAAATAATCATTGTATACTCGAGGAATTTTGAGTGGTTTAATGGATTAGTTAGGAGGAATTAGAATGATACAAACAATTATTGATGGGTTAAGACTGGGAATATCTATCATGTGTTGTGTGTACTACCATCTTTAGATTATAACTAGGAGAAAGAGATTAGCTCATCTCAGTTAGGCAGTATTTAGGTCATAAAAGTGAGCTATCAAATTGAGTGAGGCCTGGCTATTTGTGATTGCTGTTTTTTCAAATTGGGTTAAAATGGGTTCACAGAGCCAGAGGCTGTACAGAGAAAGGTGGAGCCCCCATGTTGCCCTAGTGAAAGAACATTCAGAGGAATGGTTATCACTAGGTAAATGGATAAAACAGGGGAAAAACATTACTGACTGGCAGAATACACCAAATGGGGGTCAGTATGGCCACTCCACTGGGAGATATAGAAGAAAGTTAAATTGGAGAGCAAAAAACCCAGCCCAGTGTCCATCTGGAGATAAGTTTTAACAGATGACAGGAAGAGATTTTCTTAACTCAGGAACAGGAGGCTGAGTTAGAAGCAATTCCGTTCAAATTATGGTCACAAGGACAGCAGATGTAGGACTAATTAAGGGGGTAGCTCCAGTACAAGTGATTCCTCGATTCGATAATAGACCATACCAAAAGCAATATACTATGAAACCAGAAGCAATAAAAGGGATAACACCTACATTTGAGCATTTACTTAAGGGAGGGGTGATAATTCCTGGAGATGAGGTACAATGAAACTCTCCAGTATTTCCTGTTAGAAAGGAGGCACCTAGCGCCGACTGGAGGATGGTCATGGACTTGCAGGGGGTTAATAGAAATATCATTCCCAGAGTTCCATGTGTACCAGATCCACATACATTGCTGAACCAATTGAAACCAGAGAACTCCTATTTTACAGTGATAGATTTAGCTAATGCTTTCTTTAGTATCCAAGTTCATCCGGATAGTCAGGGGTGGTTTGGCTTTACTTTTCAGGGAAGGAAATGGACTTAGGCTAGGATGCCTCAAGGCTACTCGGAAAGTCTTACAATCTTAGCCCAGGCTATAACTAAGAATTTGGGAAAGTTTGAACCTAGGGAAGGAAGCAAATGTTAGTTTATGTAGACGATATTCTATTGGCTAATCCCACTCAGGAGGGACGTAAGAGGGATACAATCCAATTGTTAACCTTCCTGGCAGAACAGGGACACAAAGTGAGCAAAAAGAAACTTCAACTTTGGTAGAGCGAGGTCATTTACCTAGGACACACTATAACACAGGAGGGGCGAATGTTAAACTCATCCAGGAAAACTGCTATATTTGAAGCGCCAAAACCATTAAAACAAAAAACAAATGATGAGCTTTTTGGTAATGATAAAGTGCTGTAAAGTTTGGGTACTCCATTATGTACTGCATACGGGTAAATTAAGTGATCTTATCTATGGGAAGGCAATGGTAGCCCATGGTAAAGTAATTTGGAACTCTAAGGAGGCCTACATACATCAGGGATGTTATCCAAATGGTAGAGAGTAACGAGGGATATGACATTGGTAGTGATTTAAAGATGATGAGGTTTTTTGGTGGGCTATTAGATAAAACTGGGTTAATCATGAACATAGAGATTTTTATTCTTTGTTGCTAGACAGAAGACTTAGGTGACCTAAAAAATAGACTTGTCATGTCCAACAATTAGTCTTCAGGTCAAGCCCGGGAGAGCCTGGGTAGAACAGAGTTTGAACTAAACATAAGTGTTTTTACAAGATAAGAGATTGATTGATTGGATTACTAATTGATTCTGAACTGGATGAAAGTTGAATTTAGCTGCCATAAAAGACAAAGGAAGTGGGAGGAGCAATAAAGAAGCAAAAGATAATCCCAAAAATGAAAGGCATGGCAATAGGATGATAAATTACATAAGGAATGGTTTAGAAAGTTGGTAATATTGACACATGGGCAAATCATGTGTCAAAAAGGGGGAGTGATAGGATTAAATAATAATGATAGGATTAAATAATGATAGGATTAAATAAATAAAAATACTTAAAAAGAAAAAACAACAATAGAAATTGAGAGCTCAACATGTATGTGTGAAGATAGTTTATTAACCACACCTGTATGTCAGAGGTTTTGTGCCCCACAGGTGAACTAAAGGAGAAGGTGACCCACTCTATCTCACCAGGAGACTGGGTGTGGATCCAGTCCCTAAAAGAAGAAAAACTGGAAGCAGGCCTGTTGGGAAGGGCCCTATCAAGTCCTATTAGATCAATCTGGGTGCATGTCACACACTGCAAAAAGGTCAACCCAGTTACACCTGATGAACAAACACAGAGTTAGGAGAAAGAACCGATCACCATTAGGGCTCGGGGGTTGGCTTCTTAACGAAGATTCCCTTACCCTGTCTGATCATCCCTGTGTGAGTTTGGTAGAAGGTGAAGCAATGGGTTGGCGTCTGACATGTTCTCAGGGCAAGGGTGGGGATTCACAGGTCTCCTGACGGTAGGTAGCTGTCTGATTGTGGGGGCCATATTCCTAACACACTCAAACCCTTCTGATCAGCCGAAAGTAGTAGTTAACCTAAAACAAGTTGATAAAATAATACCTGAGCACAGTCTACGAAGGCATAGGAGACAGCTAGACGTAGGGAAAGGGGAAGATTAGGGACTTTAGGGGAGGACATCACTATATGTATGTCACCATGTACATCCTGGGACTATGTAGTTGCTCATATCGAGAGCGTGGGGGATATGTAAATCTCCATACACAGTTTAGGGACAGGTGTAGTATTGTGAAAGTAGGGAATTACCAGAAATGGCAGTGCGAACCATAGAAGGGTAGGTACTGTCTGAAAGTCTGAAGTACGCAAAAACAGGTTTATCCTCCATGCAAGCCACCTGGGAATGTGGTGAAAGAGTCTTGTAGTAACTTGAACTATCTGTATCCCTCGATAACAAAGTCATTCCGACCTAGGTTGCCTACGTTTGAAGTCTCAGGGGATTCTAATTGTTTTTCTAGGACTAGTAAGATAGGATACAGAGTAGGGCATCTTAGCTCTGCTCCTACACAGAGAATATCACAACTGAAAGAGACCATGACTAATCTCTCCTCTTTGTTGCAGCCAGAGGATTTTAGGAACTAAAATCAGGCCCGTGCTGACATCTGATGGTTGTGTGGTGATAACTGATTGTGAACTCAACTACATATGTAAACAATCAAACGTGTCAGAGACTGGTGAGTTGTCACGTAGAAAGTAGGACCTCCTCCCGGGATCCTTTGATGAAAGGATCCTGTGATGGGATAGGAGTACCTCGAGAGGTTCCAGAACAATTCAAAGCTAGGAATCAGATCGCAGTTGAGTTTGAATCAAGTATTTTTTGGTGGTCAACAATTAATAAAAACGTAGATTGGATAAATTATATTTACTATAACCAGCAAAGATTTATAAACCACACTTGTGATGCAATAAAGGGATTAGATGAGCAGACAGCGGCAACTATCTTAATGACAAGGCAGAATAGAATAGCTTTAGATATGCTTTTGGCTGAGAGGGGCGGAGTTTGTGTTCTGTTTGGATCTAGGTGCTGTATTTTCATCCTCAAACAATATAGCACCGGAAGGGTCAGTGACAAAAGAGCTTCAGGGGAGTAACTACACTGACGAACAAACTGGCTGAGAACTCTGGTATTGATAGCTCCATAAACGGTTGGTTTGATAACATATTTGATAAATGGAAAACTATTGTTGTAACTATTCTGGGTGAAGTTATAGCCTCTATGGGTATACTTGTTCTTTGTGGATGTTGTCTTATTTCCTGTGTCTGAGGTTTGGTGAGAAAGGAGATGGAGAAGGTGATTTCCCAACAGATGGTGAGATACGGCCCAATCCTGGACTCCAACCTAGGAATGGAGGATATGACCTACCAGGCTTGGTGGAGTGACACTAGAGGGTGTCTAAAGGGGGGCAAAATATACTTCTCTGTTTGTGTTTTATGTTTTAATAGTCTTATGTTTTGTGTTCTATTAATCCTGTGTTTTATGCTTTATTAATCAAGTTAATCATGTGAATGTTTGTCTTTCCTTATGTGATGGTTTGAAGTTCCTTGGTGACTGGTAACAATTTGCAAGTGGGGTGTAGATGAACTGAGGGTTTGAATTTTTTAGTATCATTATGGCCTATTAATAAAAGTGTGATTTTTTTTTAATTGTATTATAATGAATGACAATGTGTTTTCTTATTTTTTGAATCACACCTTATTAGGTGTGAAAAGGGGGATTATTGGGGATTTATTATTCTCCTAAATTGATGGGATGACTAACTTAGAAAGAATGCATTCTTGACTGGGCTAATGTAGGCTGTGACACCTGGCAGGCTGTGATTGATGTGAAGAGCTGTTTTAGGGGGTAAAATGAGATAAGGATTGTGTCTTCAAATGCTAGACTATACTGGTTCTTTGTGATCTGTGAGCCTTCCTTGGACGTAGGAATGATGTCTAAGGGAGCTGGCTCTTCTCACTATGATAGGTTGTTATGATAAACTTGTGCCTGGCTGAAGTGTGCAACAAATGGCGCCGAGGAGATGAGACCAACCCCTGAACCAACGGATTGGCTGAGTAAAGTTTAAACCACACTCAGTTCTTTACTCTGATTGGCCAGCAGAGAAGTGGGAAACTTTCTCTGTCAGAGTATTTGAGCAACAATCTGAAACAATGGATTTAGTTCTCTGGGGTGTCCTGCGAGGTATCTCAGAGAGCCCGTATATACGAAACATCATATTTACCATTGAAGGTTTTTGCATTAATTAAAATAACTAGTATATCTTAGAAGTCGTGTTGACCTCTTTTGTTCCTAATACCAGATTTGAATTGACGCGACTTTGACAAATCAGAGAACAGATACACACATTTTTCATTCCACAACAACCTGTTTTAAAGCTGTTTAACCATCAACAGCAAACTAATTAGCACATACGTTAACAGTTTGTATTTGTAGAGGTAAAGTTAGCCACTTAATTTCCCCTCCAACTTGGATTCGGTCTTTCCTGCATCAATGTCTGTTCTGTGTTGTGTTGAAAAGACTGAGATCACCATACATTTGTCAATTTCATCCTCCAACAACATCATTAATTCATCCATAATATAAACCAATTCATAATGGAAAGTATCGGGCTGCCACATCATGTATTTGGTATTTATTGACCAACAGCTAATGTTAGTACTTCCGCGTCACAGGAATGTCGGACATTTTCTAAATAAAAGTCCTCCACATAATAGTAGAAAACTGTCAGTAACCTGTATTTATGATTTGAAAAATAACAATTATTCATATTTTTTCCCATATTTAAATGATATTTGCATTACATTTGTGTTAACTTGTTCCAAGGTCAAATGAAAAATAACACGTTTCTGTATACAGCACACACAAATATACTGTATAGGGAAAACGATTGATTGTGTGTCTATAAAACCAGGGTCCAGTCTACTCACCAGAGCCCCTAGAATACAAAATAGATGAGTTTGAACAAAAAGCTAGGTCATTGCAGTTGAAAGCCAGCATCTCGGACCTTGAGGCCTGGATTTTAATAATTCTGTTTCACAGCTGACAATCACATCGTTTTTGCCCAATCAAGTGATGGCTCTCCATTGACGCCCTTTGCTTCGGTCTTCTTATTTGTGACATCACTTCCAATTTTCAGTATTTTCTTTCTGCCTCTTTTTTTCTGTCGTTGGGATCTCATTGCTTCAGCCTGCCGTCTCCCTCTCCTTAGGCTCAGTGTCCTCGAAGACTCAGGTAACCACATATCGCGGATGTCAAGCCTGTGCAACCGCAGTATGGGCTGATTGCGCAGACAGGAAGCTGTTAAGCGGCTGGCTTTCGGGCCACTGCGGGTGTAAGGGCAGAGAACAGCCTCTTCTCTCCTTCTCTATTTTATTGACTCTCTGTCGACTGTTTTGCGTTGAACGGTCATCTTGGTGGCGTCCTCTATAGCCTCGACCTCCACCTCCACAGAAGCCGAACCAACTCGTTGCATTGAAGGCCAGACCCTTGAGTGCCAACTCATCCCTGGTTATTTTTTGAGTGCCAACTCATCCCTGGTTATTTTTTGAGTGCCAACTCATCCCTGGTTTGACTCTATTACAGGTGTCATTTCTGACTCGTCATCAGATGTGACAGGGATTTGATATCCCTGCATGGTGGGATCTGACTGTTTCTCGGAGCTAGCTTGGCAAGAGGCACTTTCTTCCATCAGAGAGGAAGGAAAAGACAATGAAGAGAGGATGTAGTTGCCAGCAGTGGCCCTTTGAGCTAGAGAGAGAGAGAGCATCATAAGTAATCAGGATAAACTATTGAGATCAATCAAATATTTTCTCTCATTTTCCAGTTTTCCTACTTGTAAACCTTGACCCCCGTTATGAAAGGCATAATTCCATTTCAATATATTTTCACAATTTTGTTGAAGCCTGGGGGTCCCCGAGGAACAGCTGGGGGTCCCCGAGGAGAGGTTAGAAAACCCCTAAATTAGTGTATCCCACCACCTACCATTGGTGTCAAAATGGTGTCCATTTTTACGGTGAAGAAGAAGTGCCTGTACGGACTGAACACACTCCTCTAAGAGACCAGGGGAGAGGCTGAGCCAAGACGCAGTCTAACAAACAAAGAAAGTTACAGTGGCGGTGTTACAACGTTTTGCCTGGAAAGAGAGGCACTTTGGGTCCTAACTTGAGTCCTAACTTGAGATCTGCATGCATAGTAGGCTACAACAAAATGATGTAAAGTACCTGTTCAAGGTTTGGAGCGGGAATAAGCTTATCCAGTTTAGACAGGAACTCGTGCACAAGAATCTGCAGTGAAGAGTCATACCTTGGGCCGAACTCCTCTGAGAGAGTGCTTTTTATTTACACTTCAAAAAATGTCATTCCTAAGAAATGGGTTCCATCGAAATGAATGGCTCACTGGCACCAGGTGGGAATCGGGAGCAGTGAATGCAATTGTTTCCGTTTTTCACCCTCAGTGTATTATGACACTGACCTGGAAGAAGAGATCCCTGTCCTCTGGTTCCTCTAGCAGGTTTTGAATTAGCTTCATGAAGCTTGCCTCTGATGCCTCCACCTTAGGATCTGAAACCTACAGCAAACACAGCACAGTCTCTAAATAAAACTACTCAGCAAATTATTTAACAGACTTGATCTTATATATCGTTGATCTGTCTTTAAAGCAATTTAACATAGCAACTTATAGTAAACTGTAAGAATGTGTGGCCATGTGGGAATAAAACCCACAACTCTGGAGCAGGTTACAAGCTAGCCTTTGATCATGACTCTCAGTTCCATTACATTACACATAAGAGTCATTGGACAAAGGCGTCTTCTGTAGGGGAGAGTTTTGTTAAGATTCCCGAATCTCAGTCTGAACATGCATCGCTTGCAGTACGGTTTTGAAAGATTAGGCCCATATGTTTCGAAAGCTGTATCGCAAGCGATGACTATTCACGTTTCTAAACGTTAAAACACAGCGTCAGGATTGTAGTTCACAAGGCAGTCGTGGGCGAAACTAATGGCTGAGTACTGTAGGGAGAAGGCAGAATGCCGCCTATCACTTGAGAGCTAATTACAAGAATAAAGCTTCAACCAACTCAGTCATAGGAAAAGTGGTTCCTTTGCTGAATAGCCCTCACCTCCTCTCCCTTCTGACTGGATATAAAGCTACTTATCCTGGCCAGGCGTGGCTGAATGGTATCAGGGTCGGCCAGGTCATCCGAGCGACACAACTCCAGAACCAGCTGTCAATCACGAGGCACAGTTGACTGAACATCTGGGAGCTTAACTGGTAATATTATGTGGCAACAAGGGTGTGAGTGTGCAATCAATCGTTGAGTGAAAAGTTGAAGTAGGAAACCCAAGTTGCCCATGGCCCAGCCACTAACAAAGGCACATTTAGCATTTTCACTCCCTAACGGTTGAGGTTAAGATTTGAGAAGGGTAGGCTGATCCTAGACCTGTACCTAACAGCAACTTCTACCCCACTCCCTCTTGTCACGCATATCACTCACCGGGTGCTCTCAGTCCCATGAGAAGTTGGACCCTCTCTCTGTATGTCATCAGCTCAGGGACTATCTCCAACACTGCAGTTGCAAACTCCTCCAGCAGCCCATAGTCCATGATGTCTCTCCGCTCAACAACCTGCCACAGAGCAGCACACACCAGACGCAGTGGGGGAACAAAAGGATGCAGAGAAGACAGAGAAAGAGGGGCACCTAAAAGGGACAGCAATTTGCTGATTAATTTTAATGAAACAAAGCAAGCTACTTACTTGGGCAGTATTTCATTGCAAAATGTTGCCACCCCTCTGCTCTTGGTCACTCCCCTTTCACAAATGTCATTCAGTCTGTCTGTTTGTCTGATAGTCATGAGTAACACAACATTTCTAGCTAGCTAGCTAGATAGCTACTGCTATATAATCTGAGACGACATCATACAACTAACTTACTACTACTACACATATTTCGTTAGTTACAGTATAGCTACTACTACACATACACTACCAGTCAAAAGTTTGGACACACCTACTAATTCAAGGGTTTTTCTTTATTTTTACTATTTCTTACATTGTATAATAATAGTGAAGACATCAAAACTATGAAATAACACATATGTAATCATGTAGTAACCAAAAAAGTGTTAAACAAATCCAAATATATTTGAGATTCTTCAAATAGCCACCCTTTACCTTGATGACAGCTTTCCACACTCTTGGCATTCTCTCAACCAGCTTCATGAGGTAGTCACCTGGAATGCATTTAAATTAACAGGTGTGCCTTGTTAAAAGTCCATTTGTGGAATTTCTTTCCTTCTTAATGCGTTTGAGCCAATCAGTTGTGTTGTGACAAGGTGGGGGGGTATACAGAAGATGTCCATATTATGGCAAGAACAACTCAAATAAGCAAAGAGAAACGACAGTCCCTTATTACTTTAAGACGTGAAGGTCAGTCAATACGGAACATTTCAAGAACTTTGAAAGTTTCTTGAAGTGCAGTCGCAAAAACCATCAAGCACTATGATGAAACTGGCTCTCATGAGGACCGCCACAGGAATGGAAGACCCAGATTTACCTCTGCTGCATAGGATAAGTTCATTAGAGTTACCAGCCTCAGAAATTGCAGCCCAAATAAATGCTTCACAGAGTTCAAGTGACAGACACATCTCAACATCAAATGTTCAGAGGGGACTGTGAATCAGGCCTTCATGGTTGAATTGCAGCAAAGAAACCACTACCAAAAAACACCAATAAGAAGAAGAGACCTGCTTGGGCCAAGAAAAAACTAGCAATGGATATTAGACCGGTGGAAATTTGTCCTTTGGTCTGGAGTCCAAATTTGAGATTTTTGGTTCCAACCGCCGTGTCTTTGTGAGACGCGGTGTGGGTGAACGGATGATGTCTGCATGTGTAGTTCCCACCGGACAGGCATTCCAGGTGAAGCTGGTTGAGAGACTGCCAAGAGTGTGCAAAGCTGTCAAGGCAAAGGGTGGCAATTTGAAGAATCTCAAATCTCAAATATATTTTGATTTGTTTAACACTTCTTTGGTTACTACATGATTCCATATGTGTTACTCCATAGTTTTGATGTCTTCACTATTATTCTACAAAGACTGGTACAGTACCAGTCAAAAGTTTGGACACACCTACTCATTCAAGGATTTTTCTTTATTTTTACTATTTTCTACATTGTAGAATAATAGTGAAGACATCAAAAGCTTTTCCAACAGTTTTGAAGGAGTTCCCACATATGCTGAGCACTTGTTGGCTGCTTTTCCTTCACTCTGCCGTCCGACTCATCCCAAACCATCTCAATTGGATTGAGGTCAGGAGATTGTGGAGGCCAGGTCATCTGATGCAGCACTCCATCACTCTCCTTCTTGGTAAAATAGCCCTTACACAACCTGGAGGTGTGTTGGGTCATTGTCCTATTGAAAAGCAATTGATAGTCCCACTAAGCCCAAACCAGATGGGATGGCGTATCGCTGCAGAATGCTGTGGTAGCCATGCTGGTTAATTGTGCCTTGAATTCTAAATAAATCACAGACAGTGTCACCAGCAAAGCACACCCACACCATAACACCTCCTCCTCCATGCTTTACGGTGGCAACTACACATGCGGTGATCATCCGTTCACCCACACCGCGTCTCAAAAAGACACAGCGCTTGGAACCAAAAATCTCAAATTTGGACTCCAGACCAAAGGACAAATTTCCACCGGTCTAATGTCCATTTCTCATTTTTTTCTTGGCCCAAGCAGGTCTCTTCTTCTTATTGGTGTCCTTTAGTAGTGTTTTTTTTGCAGCAATTTGACCATGAAGGCCTGATTCACACAGTCTCCTCTGAACAGTTGATGTTGATGTTGAGATGTGTCTGTTACTTGAACTCTGTGAAGCATTTATTTGGGCTGCAATTTCTGAGGCTGGTAACTCTAATGAACTTATCCTCTGCAGCAGAGGTAAATCTGGGTCTTCCATTCCTGTGGCGGTCCTCATGAGAGCCAGTTTCATCATAGCGCATGATGGGTTTTGCGACTGCACTTCAAGAAACTTTCAAAGTTCTTTAAATGTTCCGTATTGACTGACCATGTCTTAAAGTAATGATGGACTGTCATTTGTCTTTGCTTATTTGAGCTGTTCTTGCCATAATATGGACTTGGTCTTTACCAAATAGGGCTATCTTCTGTATACCCCCCCTACCTTGTCACAACACAACTGATTGGCTCAAACACATTGAGAAGGAAAGAAATTCCACAAATGGACTTTTAACAAAAGTCCGGCTCTGTCGCGGCCGACTCTGTCGTAGCCGGCCGCGACCGGGAGACCCATGGGGCGGCGCACAATTGGCCAAGCGTCGTCCAGGGTAGGGGAGGGAATGGCCGGCAGGGATGTAGCTCAGTTGGTAGAGCATGGCGTTTGCAACGCCAGGGTTGTGGGTTCGATTCCCACGGGGGGCCAGTATGAAAAATAAAAAAATAATGTATGCACTCACTAACTGTAAGCTCTGGATAAGAGCGTCTGCTAAATGACTAAAATGTAAATGTAACAAGGCACACCTGTTAATTGAAATGCATTCCAGGTGACTAACTCATGAAGCTGGTTGAGAGAATGCCAAATGTGGAAAGCTGTCATCAAGGCAAACGGTGGCTATTTGAAGAATCTCAAATATATTTTGATTTGTTTAACACTTTTTTGTTTACTACATGATTCCATATGTGTTATTTCATAGTTTTGATGTCTTCACTATTATTCTACAATGTAAAAAATAGTACAAATAAAGAAAAACCCTTGAATGAGTAGGTGTGTCAAAACTTTTGACTGGTAGTATATATCATTAGTTACAGTATAGCTAATATGATAACCAAGCTAGCTAGCTGGAAGAATCAGCATGGCTAGCCAACTAGCAACACAGTCAATCGAAAATATTTACCCTGCTCCTCCAAAAGCGTTTGCATTTTACGCCTTCAGAAATCTTTGCTAGCTAGTTATATAGCGCAAAAATAGTGGACTTCTTTTTGTACCAGCGTCTCGTCAGGAACACTAAAAAAACACTTCAGAGTCACGGAATTTCGAAAATGTTCATAGTAAAAGTCTCTCACGTAATAGTATTAAAGTGTCAATAACCTGTATTAATTCATGATATATTATAAATAATTCTCTAAACATGAACAATGATTCATATATGTTCATATGTAGGTGACATTTGCATTAAATGTGGGTTTTAAGACATGTTCCAAGGTCAAATAAAGAATAAGACGTTTCTGTATACAGCACATACAAATATTGCACTACAGGAAAAACTATTGATTTTCTGGAGTGGAAAATGGAAAATACTCAGTATGGTCTCTATTAACCAAATATAGTTAGTTTGGGATGGGGCCTGTTGCTGGCTTTTAATGCCCCCACCTCCAAAACTAACTATGTTTGGTTAGTAGAGACCCTACTGAGTATTTCTCACCCCAGTTTGTTTGAGAAAGGTAGTACATGGAATACATATTGGACTGTAGGGAGAGAAAAAAACTTTACTGTCTCAGTTAAAGTGAGGTGGAAAATACTCAGTAGGTTCTCTACTAACCGAATATGTTTAGCTTTAAGGGGGACTGTGTTATATGGCCTGTTAATGGCTTTTACTCTGCCCCCTCCATTGCCCCCAATGCAATACACTGTACCACATCGTATGCTGTTTGACCACAGTAAAAGTCCAGCAACACTTCCTATGACCTAGCTTTTTGCTAAAACGAAACTTTTTTTGTATTCTAGAGACTCGTGAGTAGACTGGACCCTGGTTCTATGGACACACAATCGTTTTTCCTGTACAGTGCAATTTGTTGGTAAAATACAACAAAAATACAGTAAGACTGACATTACATTTCAAAATTGCATACTTGAACAATAGCACCAGTAAATCAACAAGAATTATACAATCAATAACAGTATTTCTTATTTTATTTTTTACCAGTAGGCGGTTATGTTCTTTACATTCATTTACTTAACATTTACATTTTAGTCATTTAGCAGATGCTCTTATCCAGAGCGACTTACAGTTAGTGAGTGTACACATTTTTTCATACATTTACATTTTATTCATTTAGTAGACGCTCTTATCCAGAGCAACTTACAGTTAGTCATTGCATACATTTATTTTGTTCATACTGGCCCCCCGTGGGAATCGAACCCACAACCCTGGCGTTGCAAGCACCATGCTCTACCAACTGAGCTACACAGGGCCTCAGTCTGATGGCCGTGAAATAGAAGCTGTTCTCGGTTCCAGCTTTGATGCACCTGTACTGACCTCGCCTTCCGAATGGTAGCGGGGTGAACAGGCTGTGGCTCGGGTGGTTGATGTCCTTGATGATCTTTTTGGCCAATGTGACATTGGGTGCTGTAGGTGTTCTGGAGGGCAGGCAGTGTGCCCTCGGTGATGTGTTGGGCAGACCCCACCACCCTCTGGAGAGCCCTGTGGTTGCGGGCGGTGCAGTTGCCGTACCAGGCAGTGATACAGCCCGACAGGATGCTCTCAATTGTGCATCTGTAAAAGTTTGTGAGGGTGTTAAGGGGCCGCATTTCTTCAGCCTCCTGAGGTTGAAGAGGCGCTGTTGCGCCTTCTTCACCACATTGTCTGTGTGGGTGGACCATTTCAGATTGTCAGTGATGTGTACGCCGAGGAACTTCAAGCTTTTCACCTTCTCCACTGCGGTCCCGTCGATGTGGATAGAGGCGTGCTCCCTCTGCTGTTTCCTGAAGTCCACGATCAGCTCCTTCATTTTGTTGACGTAGAGGAGAGGTTATTTTC